GTCCAAAGCCTGTTAGAGACGATCAGACGTCTTTCTCACCCCATATTCCCACGGCTTCTGGAGTCGTACTACCACACGGGCGAGCTGCACCTGATTTGGGAACCGATGGAGATCACAGTGAACTACATTTTAACCGCCCGGTGGCCGGTCAACGAGACCGAGCTGGCATACATTCTCCGGTCGGTGAGTGTTGCCAGCGGCCATTGTGCGACGGGAAGGCAGTGGATACTAACCCAAGCAGACCCTTGACGGCATTAGATTCCTTCGGGATCAGGGAAGAGCATTGGCCATCCTAGAGGCGGAGACAATCCTCTTGGACCGAAGCGGCCATGTCCGCCTTGGTAATTACGTCTCTTTGATCGTCGCTACGAACATTGTCAACTGACTTGGCGCACTAGCTGGGGTGGAACAGAGCTACCAGATCTCAGCATCCGATATGAATGCCGAGACGCTGAAATTGAACGCACTAGCAACAATCACGAGGGGTCTAATGGCCACTGGTGCAGGACAGGTCAGATGGAGCTCTAAGGTCCGAGCCTTCCTCGAAAATCTGACCACCAAGTCTTTGGATGAGTTGATGCAGGTAAGTGGGCAGCTAAGAGATGGAGCAACAGTTGGTAACAGAGTCCTAGGATACATTTCTCGAAGCAGCAACGGACGAAAGAGATCTAAAGCTGTGCGTCCATGTTGTGAACAAAAAAGCCAGAAACGATCTTGTACTACTCTGACCGGTCTGGATCCGATGGCATCCACCATCATCTAGACATGTTTGTGAGTGAAGTTTCCGCAGCAAACGTTTAGCAACCATTCAAGCTGACAGCGTCCTTTATGTCGTCATGCCACTTCCTTCATGAACAGTTGGTTGGTAACTCGTCGTAAGCAATAAATGCTGCATCCTTATTCCTAGTTTCAGAGCACTAGCAGACATCAATTAGGCTTGAGTTCCGCAATATTATCCCTCAGATATGTAGGATCTACATAGAGGTTTGAGTGGTCGATACACGCTGGGTACTAGGGAGGCATACTCTTTGGCTATCACGGCAGCAAGCGAGATGCATCGGGACACCCGTATCCAGCATCTCAAGCCACGTAACGGCCTACATCAGTTTGGTCTCAGTATCAGCTATGTCGTAGACGGCCTCAGAGATTTTCCTGGTGCCCCAGCTCTGGAGAAAGTGCCCTCGCGCCGAACGATGACTCCGTGAAAAACTGTTTCATTCACCAGCTCTACCAGTAGCTTCAGGACTCCTGCCCCGGCCACTTGTTCAGAAAAAGTCGTGCTTTCCGGTCAGCCGGCTGGCATGGCCGGCTCAACTGAAAGTCAGAGACACGAGCGCCCATCCCCGTGTCCAGATACTTAAAACCCACGTCACTACATAAGGAGTATGAATGTTGTCTCTCACTGAATGTTGTCTAGGAGAGTGTGTCAGGAAGCTAGTGAGACTATATGGTCTACCTACAGCCGCCACGGGCATTCCTTTGGTTGAAAGCACGACATGTCCCAATGACCACAAAGGTTAACTCAACAAGGCCAGGTGATGGAAGAGTTTTCTGACTATTGTTCGTGGGGAATTGTGAGGGATAGCCGGACGTTGATCGCTACGTCAGGGCAAGTGTAACCGCATTTCTAAGAATGGACATGCCAGCCCTCGAGAACCCCGGCCTTGGTTTGCTCGGGATCAAAGGCTTGCTAGTTCATCTGATTGACCAACAGTTTATTGAGTATAATCTGGGGGCTTGGGTTGGTCTTCGGGGCTTCTAGGTCGGCTATTCTGGCTGATGAGGATGGTGCGCATGGTATGGTCTGTGACGTCGTCGACCCCGTCTTTTGTTCGATTCATCTAAATGATCGCTTAGTGAACGTTGCGTCAAGAGAATCCCAACTCACGCCTCATAGCAAGCTTGGTAGCTTCGCAACACGGATGGTTCGATGTGCTAGAACGGACTTCCTGGCATTGGTCAGCCCCCTCTATCTAGAAGTTGTCGTTGCATTGCCATACCAGCTGACCGTTCCATGACTCCGAATTCCTTTTGGTAAATTACAAGTTCCCATATCTACATATGGTCTGTCAATCCCAACCACCCGGTCTGTTTTCAAGGGTTGGGCCATGCGTGTGCTCACCATGGCGGTAGACAATGCCCATATAGTCATGACCATGGCAAGAAGCATGACTGAATCTGAGATTAAAATTCTGTATGCTGTACTTTTACCAGCTGCTGTCCTCGATGGAATGGAGCAAGGAAGAATCGAGGAAGAAGCTCACACGTACTATCCATATATGTTGCCCAATTTGGTCGACATCCCGACAACCCCATTTTTGGTGGGGTTGGAATGATAAAAGGTTTTGTTGTTAGGGTGGAATGCTGCTAGCTTGACGGATTCTCATTGGTCGTATCCGCCCGCAAAATTAATGCCCAGCAAGCATGCTCGACATTGAATCATTTAAAACTGGAGGCATCGGAGGCTGAGCAAATTATCAACCTGCTGACCTGGTTTTGATGAGCGATCCATTAGAGTGGGCAATATATTCAATCTTGGCGCGCCTGTTGATTTTGTACGAGTTTTGTGGAGTTACCAAATGCCGGTTGTGCCGGACACGCTGAAGTAGCTAGTAGTGGTCATGTTACTGTATATATATCATTGACCATTCATATACGAAATAAATAGATCATTGATGCGTATGATTACAATCGCGAGCGACGAGGCTCATTTTTGTAGTGACGCAAGGTAATAGTACATTCAAATGCCAGTACACTCATGTGTTGATCTCGTTGCTTTACGTACTAAGCCCAGTTGTCGAAACCCGAGGCCATAATATTCCTTCGGTGCGCATTCGGAGTCCCCAGGCGGGCTTCAAGTGGATACCCCTGGACAGCTTCCTCATAAGGACTAGTCCCGGGCCTACCCGAGCACCAGCAAATGTTTGATGGCCCAGGACAACAATCAATTAGAGGGACCGACCAGAAGGCGGTGAAGTGACGCGCCCGCCTGGGCATCTGAACAGACTAATGCCCGCACAGATTGCGCATCCCGTTCCCGGAGACGGTATCGCAAATATTTGACCGTGTCTACCCGGTGATTCCTTTATCATCTTTTCCCATCTCTCGCCATCTTTTGACCATACTTTCACCATTCCTTGCCTCTTTACCTCATCTCCCCCACTTCCCCCACTTCCTCCCTTTGTTTCTATCTTTTTCTTTTCCTTTTCCCCTTTTGTGACCCGCTTCATGTGCCCTAGCCCTGATCTGCAGGTCATCCAGCTCCCCCACTGGGTCTCCCATCGACCGCAATCAGGCACCTCAAAAGGCGATCATCACATTCTGAAAGACGCATGATCACGTCCAGGCTGGTCAATCCCTCTTTAGCATGGGGCCGAATCATGCTGCGCCCAAGGCAAAGCAGGATTGGGGGATCCGGGTCTTGCTGCGCGGGGAGAACCTGTCGAACTGATCGGGCATTTTGTGTCACAAATGACCTCCGAGCACCAGCGGGCAATTCTGTGTCAGCCGAACTCAACGCAACCCTACCTGGTCATCATCGTAAAGCTCATCACAAGAGCTAGAACGGTACAGTACTGTAGTCTTGTCGGATGATTTGCCCGTTTCTCACCCATCGGCTCCCGGATCCCTGGATTCTGATTTTGCCCAGGTGTCGCTGGGCTGCCTCATCGTTGCGAGATCTCCGGCCCACGCGGGACAAGACGGGCAATGTCCAAGGGCCTGTCATGTATGACCCGTCACCAAGGTCGGTATCTGTCGAGCGGACCTTAATCCGAAGGCGTCCGAACGTGGACGTTGAGTACAGTATGCAACAAGCAATCGATTTGCCAGACATACACCGACTCGCAGACTGCTTGTCCGAAGCGAACCGGAGGGAGTTACCCAGGACTCGCGACGTCATCCTCTGCGTCAATCAGGACCAGGATATACTACAGATGGAATCTATGTGCTGTATCCCGAGTGAAAACTGTATACATTGTACTGTAAGATTCAGAATCGCCTTCCGCCTGTGTTACTGTTCTCTTTTCTTAAAGCCCCACTGCCAAGACTGAAACCCGCACGCTAACCAACAACGGTAAGTTTGTTACAGAGACATAACGAACAGTGGTATCATTTGTCTTTCAGCATGACGTCAGAAATTATTATGTAACGTATTCATATTACCCAGGGTAATGGCTCTGCTAGAATGTTCTAGCTCTATCTATAATTCAAGACATCTATATATACATCAGCCATCCCAAACCCTCCTATCAAAAAGGAATCTCGAAAATAAGTAGAGACAAGGAAAGGCAAGGAATGAAAAGGCAAGTATGCTTTCTCGACTATACCATATTAGGGAATCTACCGCGGTCTCCCAGTCACTGAGAGTACCAGAAGAGGATATGGTATCTGGGTGATCTGGACCCAGTAGGTTGCGGCGGAGCTCTGCACACTGTTTTATCAGAGCAAGGGATTCCTTAACCTTTCTCCGGCCTTTCCATGTAAAGGCCAGGTTGCTCATACCGGTAAGAGTGTCAGGATGCTCGGGTCCTAGCACTCGCTTGCGTAGCTCTAATACTTGTACTTCCAGCTCTTCCGCTTCCTCCCATCGTCCTTGTTTCGAGTAGGTCAAGGCCAGATTGTTCATGCTGGTAAGAGTCTCAGGGTGCTCGGGTCCTAGCACTCGCTTGCACAGCTCTAACACTTGCACTTGCAGCTCCTCCGCTTCTTTCCATCGTCCCTGATTCCAGTAGGTG